CATTGCACTGGGACACTCGTAGCATCAGCTGAGACAGTTCCTTTTGCCTAATATGAGACACTTCTTATATATGAATTATTTTTGTATTTTCTGTTGTTTTTCTGTTTTTCTGGCAATAAATATTTTCTTTTCTATTCTAACTTTAGGAATTTCTTTTTTATTTAAGACGTTAACTAAACAGATATACAAATATATAATAAATGACTAGTACATATAAGAATAAGTTTAAAACTAATCTGTAGTTTTGATACCATTTCAAAAAAGATTCTCAATTTGTATATATTTTGTGTGGTTACATACAAGAAGCAATTACATCGCCAGTTCTGTGTCGATTTTGTTAATTCTTTTTGCTATCGACAGGGTTTACTCCCTTGTTGGTGCCATATTAATATGAATAGTTGTGGCGATTTGAAACTGCCATAGTTCCGTCAAAGTCTACCAGTGAACACTTATTTCCAAATGCAAAATTAAGATATTTTCTATCGCAACATCTAGTTGTTCAAAAGTGTTTTGTATTTGCTGTTTTTTGCGTAACAAAATATAATTTTAAATATATCTGATAAAATAAGATGACTATATAATCGTTAAGATAAGATAAATCTTCTTTCGTAAACAACTAATTAGTTGTTTACGAAATTAATTAATAAAAGATACAAACAATGATTATAAGTGTACAAAGCCTTTTACAGTACGTGTAGGCTTCACTCGCTTACAAACATTCATGCGTAAAAAATTACTCTCCGGGAGTAAGCAAACATCCTACTTATCATAGATGTTGTGACTTTACATGCACAGTATATCAATAGAATTACATAATACCATATATATAAAACCGTGGGCCAACAGACACATTGTCTAGAGATAAAACAACCGGCTTGTTATTCTTTGTGGATGATAAATTACTTATTACTTTCGAGGTCTCATTCTATAAGGCCGAGTGGTACGACCGAAAAGGAAAAACAACTATAAAGGGCTGTACATCGATCAATCCATCCTTACTAATATAATAAATATGAAAGCGAGTTTGTTACTACGGCTTCAAATGATTGTTACGAAATTTGGTATGTGCGTAGTATTTAAACTTTAGAAGGATATTTAGCTGCATTTTGCAGAGAAGTATTATGTCTATGGTTCTAAAAGGCTACAATAAAATTCCAGAGCAATACAAATGTTTAAACATAAATTTGTTCAAGAAAATTTTTAAAAAATGTTAATTGACAAATGAAATGAATTTTTAAATGACATATTTTAATAAAATATACTTATATTTATAATTATACAGATATTACTCTCTATTTAAATATGTTTTAAATTTTTTAACTTTTACAACTAATAATTAAATTTATGACATCATATAATTTGCAATATTTCTTTTTGTAATGCTACAGTTCGCCTAATAAAAAAATTGAATGCTAATCTTGGCAAAACATGTTATAACTACAACATAAAATACACAATATGTTAGATACACACACATGTTTATGTACCTAAATAATTTTATCTTTATCTTTGTTCCTCGTACCAGAATATATTGACCGACTGGGATAAAAAATACCCTATGTTTATCTAAAATACATGTTAAGCTGTTAATCATTAAAAGACAACAAACAAATAGACACTAATAATATTGCTAAAATAGGTCTAGTAAGGAAGTAACATCCTTTCCTGTGGGTGTCGTAAAAATCGACTAAGGGCGAGGGATGAGTAGCAGCGTCCCTATTAAAACATCTCTAAAGCAACTACTGGCAAAACCCCCCAAGGGGGAAACTTATGTTCAGCTGTGGACAGTTAAAGGCTGATATGATGAAAGAAGTAAGGATTTATTTATTTATTTTATTTATTTATTTATTTTGTGATACATAGGTAACAATGGATGGTAAAACAATATAAGTCCTCTATAATCAACCCCATCTATCGAGGTATACAAATTTACAATTATATAGGAAAACATTTATATTATATAAAAAGAAAAATCAGCAATGTCACATTTATATAAAAAGAAAAATCAGCAATGTCACATTTATATAAAAAGAAAAATCAGCAATGTCACATTTATATAAAAAGAAAAATCAGCAATGTCACATTTATATAAAAAGAAAAATCAGCAATGAATCCAAAATTTAAAAAAGTGCCAATAATTAGCAATATTAAAACACCAGTTTCTTTTATATTGAAGCATGTGGGCGGGGCGTGACGTAGTTTGCATAATAAATTGAACATATGTTACATTCGTATCTAATCAGTAATTGAGTGTAGAGCATTATCAATTTGCAGGCGTAATTGCAGCCTCCTGTGAATACACAATGCAACAGCACACATATACAACACTGCATTCTGTGAAAGGAAATGTAGTACGATAAAATTCACCGATACAGAAATTGTTCAGGTTTGTATAAATTGAATGTAAAATACGCCAAATGCGATTGTAATATAATAGTATGTAGGTACTTTCCTATATAACAAAGATAACAATAAAAAAATACACGATTCGCGTGATAATAACTAAATGACCAGCAATATAAATACATACTTATAACACAGCGGTGCCACACGCGCGTTTCCGACCTTTTTGATAGGAGAAACAGTAATTTCATTGTCATATCTTTACCTTTCAAATACTTCAAATGTGAGCAAAATGCACCTGAGTATTTAGGAATGGCAACGCATGGGAAGTATTATGGGCGAAACAATATATTCTATTATGTCCATGATACTGCTCATGTCTATAGGCGACGGTTACCATTTTCAATCAGGTGAGCCGTCAGCTTGTTTGCCATTCTAAGTTGCATAAATAAAAAGGTATAATGTAATGTTGATGACTGGTGTTTAGTGGTTACCGCATCAAAACCTATAAATCAAATCATTTAGAGTTTCTAATTCGTTAAATATGTTATTAATATAAATATCATTATAAATTCGTTTAATCTATCTCGGTTAACGTAAAGTGTGTGGTTTTTGGCCTGATAAAATTGTTGCAAGGGTCTCTCACCAACAAGGATATAGTCTGCTATTACCACACTGATCAGGTCAGCTTGGTGCAAAGTTTAATCACGATTTTCTTTCTCACGATTTACTTATTTACCTAATCAGAAAAGAGTCCGCTGAACTTCGATGTAATAACATTTTCTAGGATCCAATTGGTGGACGCTACCACTACGCAACGCACGTGGTCTGCATAACGTCCTAAACCTATTAGTATTCCTAGAGAGCCTAAACAAAAGTTAGGAGTGTCGTAATGTAACATTGGTAATACATGTTATTTGCATGCCACTCAATGTGTTCAGTAGAAAGTGTTAACATCACATGTGACAACTTAACAAGTGTCAAAACGTGACTCAAGTGAAGACTTCTCCAATGAACAATGTAAATACACAATATTTTTAAAAGATTCTAACCCCGCCAGTGTTGTAACTTTAGCGCGTTACCTTTGAGTACCTTTGAGGTGAAGATAAATTCAGGTTAGTTGAGCTATCGTGACAAATTCAGCAGATATAGCCCAAGATGATTTACAGGAGGCACGTCGTAGGAGTCAAACACAAGATACATAGCAAGCAATGAGGCCATTTCCTAACCGACCTGATTTCATTTTATTTTTAAAGATTTGCACTAGGAGGCTGACATTGCTGGATCTTCATGGCAACACAATAAGATAGACACTGGCAGACAGGCGGCTTAAAAAAATACGCATCCAATATGTTTTAGTGATGGTAACACATTCATTGTATTCTTACTTTGTCATCACGTCTAGTTTTGGAAGAAAAGTCAATAAATCTTTAAATTTAAAATCACAATGTTATCCATAAAGTTGGGACTTTTACGATTTACTTTATTACGTCTACTTAATAGTTTTATTTTTTCGCCAAACAACCCTTTTACGAGTTCGCACTTGCCAAGTTTCATTATATTTAGGAACAAAACTGATCATGTTTCCGTTACAACGATGTTTAGATGCTTGTAATGAAACTCATGTCGTTGGCCGAAATAAAAAATGGACAGTACTGAGCGGACTCCCGAGGTTATTAAAATTTAAACGATTTTTTACAGTATTTCAAATAGACGCTGTAAAATAGATGGGTGCGAATTCAAATCCGTTTCACTACGATTTGTTTTTCAATAATGCGATATTCATAAATAATTTAAATTGTTGGTGTCATGGCTCGACGAGACGCTTGACCCACAAGGAGGAATAATGGAATAAATAAACTGTTTGTAAGAAAGAAAGAAAATAAAGTGTGGATACTGTAACTGTTATGATGGTATGGAATTATTTAAATTTATCTATGACGTGGTTGGGGGGCCTTATATTTTAAATTTTATGATCTGATACTGCCCACCACCAAGGTTTGTATTCACACAAATTCATTATTTATATACTGAAACTTTTTGAAAAAAGTAACAGTTTCTTGTCCATTTTTCTTAGCTGAAATTGGGCTCCGAATGGCTGGTGGTGACAAAAGAACAATTCAAAACGGTTTAAATGTAGGTTTACGTGAACAAAAGTATTTCTTTATTTCTTTCTTTCTTATAAACAAGACTGTAGATAAACAGGATAAAAGAGATGAAAAACATCACTGCTTAGAATAATTTAAAATTGCTGTCAGTCGAAATAATTGGCAATGAATTTTGATAAAGTGTCTGCACAATAGATCTAGACGGTTGCTAGCTGTAGGTTCGTCTGAGATAGCTCAAACTTCAAGAAATAATTTATATTTGATACACTAAAAACTTAGGTACCTAGCCCTAACAACTTTGGGAGGAAACGATTGTTAGCAATGCGAATTACCACTCCCATTGCTAACAGGTCGACCTCCCCATGGTCACCCCTAGAAACCATCGTTCTGAATTCCAAGTGTATTCATCACGATGGGCTAACTGACCTGCTTTTTCATTCTCATTTATCATCTCTTACTAGTGCCCCACCAGCGTATATCGTTAGCGAAGGCGGAGTTACCAATCCATTATCATCCATTAAAAAAAACCCTAACAGCTTATACTCTTACCTCTTCATCTTCAGCTATGCATTCCACGGCGGCCTGCTGCCTGCTTTGTGACTGTTCCACGTTAGACTTCACCTGCCTCTCTTGACCTTGGTCTAGCACTGTAACAACGAAAAAACAACCATTTACTACGTGGCATAAGGTCGAGTCATAATGTCAAGAATTTCTGCTAAAAACAAATTTTTGTTTACCAACTTCAAATATTTCTTTTTTTTTTTTTGTTGTAGTCCTGTATTCTTTGTACAATTTGTAAAGATATTTCGATAACTTTTTTGGAAAGTAAAGTATTCGAAGTGTTAAAGGTAAGTATTAATTTTGAAAAAAGTTATTCTGCGTTTTCTTTAATATATTTTTTATATTTTGAGATTGATGAGATGACATTTGTTTGTATCGGCCTTTAACTGTCCACTGCTGATCATAGCCTCCCTTATAAGGGAGATTGTTTCTAGTAGTAACCGCGCTTGGCTTGGCAACCGCAGTTTACCTTTTGGTAATATTTTAAAAGGGACGCTGCTGCCCATCCCTCGACCATAAGTTCCTATAGTTACCTCTTACAACATCCACTGGAAAGGAAGGAGTAACCTAATCTATGCCGGGACCTACACAGCTGAGACGAACGATCTAAATGAAGTCCAAGCAAACACCAGAGGGAGACTTTGTACAAAAGTCGTTTGCTTGGGCACCTCTGTCCTATTCGTGTTTCTATCGTGAAGCAGTTGTGTTTGCATGGCTATATTTTGGTTTGAAGGGTGAGATATGACAGTGAATTTACAGGGTACAGAGAAATAATACCCGAGTCCTTAGGAATGGCGACGCATGGGGGGTATCATGAGCGAAACAGTATACTCTGTTATGTCCATGCTCATAGCTATAGGCGACGGTTACCACTTTCCATACGATGGGCCGTCAGATTGTTTGCCATTCTAAGTTGCATAGAAAAAAACACACAAGCAGAATAAAACTGAGTGAATACTTGTATGCTAACAAGTAACGGTTTCTCCCAAGCGTGGTAAGAGGTAGATACACTACTGTATTTACTCATAATAGAATTTCAAAAGAATTTTTTTAGAAACCAAAGTAAGTATAAGATCATATTGCATTTAGTTTGTGTCCACCACAAAAGTGAAAATACAGCACTAATAATAATGAAATAGGTATACATAGGTAAAACTAAATTGTTAAGTTTTTTAAAGGAGTGTTTATTTATTTATACTTTTGCACACATTAAGATATGTCTACGGATCGCACTTAATGTCTGATGACATTCTCTACCAGTCAACCTTTACGTTAAGAGTAAGTGGCGATGCATAAGTGTAACAAAATTAATTTGTAAAGGAAATAAATATTTCGATAGACATCAACATTAATACATTGTAAAATGAATTAACATACATACATACATATTGAGAATAGTTACAAAAAAATATACATACATAAATCACATATAATACAATACATACTATATGTATTACACATTAATATAATAAATATATAAGTAATGGCTAATCATAAAATAGTTTAGAGTATTCTATTAGTAAAATTGAACTTTTTTACCAAAATAATATAATTCGAAAAACGCAAAAACATTTTGTTTTTTCTATACTAACAAGATGTATCTAGCTAAGTTAGTATGGGAGACTTAAAATATTGCGTCATTTTTTAATCATGACATTTCTATGCTAATAATATTCTATAACATGGGTAGATTTTTAGTTCTATGTAGGGCTAACTACTTCTGTTTCTTCCTGTATGCGTGATATAGAAAAATTACAAGTTTCGCGCCGTCACCCATTACGTGGACCACCATTAATCACAAGAACTTAATTAAACGCCTAAAATTGGCCATTCAGTCAGCCTGATTGCCTGTCGTACATCAAGATGGCCGAGACGAAAAATCTACGCCTCGTATCTAGGTAAATAATCTTTATTTTTCTAATCAGATGAAGCACAAATTGCCGAGTGTCCTATTGATCTTTCGTAAAACAGTTAAATTGAAAGGACATTTGAAGTACTTAAGCTAGGGAAAATATTGGGTATTTATTTTATGGAACGGTTTAATTAATTGAATGTTTTTTTTTTTTAATTATTACTAACATACAAATACCTAAAAAAAATAAAAATAAATCATTCATTTGTCAAGATTGAAATCGAGACGAGATCGAGAAATTGAACTTTGCAGAGCAATACGAATATGCTGAACATATGCCTCCTCCATAAGGGGGGGTATTGTCAGTAGTTGCCACGTTTAGTAGGTGGATAGGCAACTGTAATTAGGTTTTTGGTGACGTTTCAAGTGGGACTTTGCTGTTAATATTCCTTAATTAAAAAGACTAACACACGAACAAATTTATGGTTTAAAGCTAATTTATTGATAACAATAATTAAGTGCCAATTGTGTAAATGTTACGTAATCTTATTATTAAGATAAAAAGCGATGAAAGTAATGTCACAAAAAGCCAATTGCTGATTATTATTTCTACCATTAACTGTCCACTGCTGAACATAAGCCTATGGGGTTATCCCCATAAGAAGAGTTTTGCTAGTAGTTGCCACGCTTGGCAGGTGAGCTGGCAACCGCAGTTAGACTGCCCATCCCTCGCCCTCCCTTAGTGACCTCTTACGACACTCACGGGAAAGGATGGGATGGTCCATTCTATGCCGGGGAACACGTCGAATGTTAATATTCCAAGTTAAATACCTACTTGTAAACTTTCTCCTTAGAATTTATTTACCATTCATTATCACAACGTAACAAAAGCAACGTTAATAAAATGTAGACTCAGGCAAATACTTTTATTTGCCGATATCTAATTCTTGTTAAGACTCAAATAACATCAATAAATATTATTATTTGGGTATTTATTAATTTGATGACATCATTTCTACATCACTACTACCAGAGGGAGACTTAAAAAAGTCCTTTGCTTGGGAGCCTCTGTCCCAATCCGTGTTTTATCCGTGAAGCAGTTGTGTTTGTATGGCTGTGTTTCGGTTTAAAGGGTGAGATTAGGCGTGGATTTACAGGATACAGAGGAATAATACCTGAGTCCTCAGGAATGGCAAAGCATGGGGGGATATCATGAGCGTACTCTGTTACGTCCATGGTACTGTTCATGTCTATAGACGACAATTACCACTTTCCATCAGGTGAGCTGTCAGCTTGTTTGCCATCCTAAGTTGTATAAAAAAGTGCTTTTTCAGCAGTCATGTTACCTGTTTATATTAATCAATACCACTGGTGCGGAAGAAATATCTTAATGTATATATAGCAATGTCAAAATCGGAATGAAACCTATTTATTTTATTATTATCCCTGTTTCTTATTATTTATCGAGTAAACAGGAAAGTCAATTTATACGCGGAGCTTAGTTATCTCTGCCAAAAATGTAACATTCGCAGAATAAACATTCAGTACCTACATATTACGAGTACTGTTTTTTTTTATGGTGAAAATGGAATAACAACCTCGCCTACGCTAACGAAATACGCTGTCAGGGCACTAGTGAAGGGTGGTAGATGAGAATGAAAACAGGTCAGTTAGCACATCATGATGAATTCATCAGGAATTAATCATAATAGTTTGGAGGGAAAGGGATTGTTAGTGATGGAGACTGAGAATCCCATTGCTAGCAATATACCCAACCAGGTCGACCTCCTCGCGGTTCCCCCTGAAAACTATCATGGTTAATTCCTGATTAATTCATCATGATGGGCTAACTGGCTTGTTTTCATTCTCATCTATCACACTTCACTGGTGCTCCGCCAGCGTATCCCGTTAGCGCAGGTGGAGTTACCATTCCAGTTTCACCCATCAAAAAAAAAACCATAATAGTTCTCCAGATCCCCAGAGGTGTTCGCGCGGAGGTCGATTTAATTAGGTAACCCTACCCCCCGTCCCTCCATGAGTATTGTTATGTGCCTACTGAAACAACACCCATGAAACCGAAACACAACCTAGCAAGTACAACTACTTCACAGAGAGGGAATAGGGATTGATAGTGTTAATGGATTCTAACAACCCCATTACTAGCAATACACCCTAACAGGTCGACCTCCACACAGTTCCCCTGGAAACCATCGTGGTTAATTCTTGTCAAATTCTTTACGATGGGCCGACTGACCTGCCTTCATCCTAACCTATCATCTATCACTGGTACCTTGCCAGCGTATACCGATGGCGCAGGCTAGTTGTCCATTCCATTTTCACCCATTAAAAACATGCTGCTTCACAGAAAAAACCGAGCTAAGGAGCAGGTCAGTTGACCCATCGTGAAAAATACACCTAGAATTCAGCACGAGGGTTTCCAGGTGGGACCGCGAGGAGGTCGATCTAACAGGCTATATTGCTAACATGGGATTAATGGGATTGGTACTTCGCTTTAATAACAACCGGGGCCTTCAGTGCAACGAAGCTACCCATGCAGACGACTTTTGTGTAAAGTCTCTCTCTAATTAAACTATATGTTAGTAGGCAAACCATGCAAGTGGACAAAATCATTTCTCAAAAAATAAAAAATTACTCGAATCTAACAATCTCATGAGACAACATGAAAATATGCCTTCTAAACAACAAAGATCACTGTCTAATCATTATGTAAACTCAGCGTTAGATGTGCTATGCTCTCATCTAAAGTGCACTCCTCTAAATTGTTAGTTACTTGTGACTCATACTTGCATTTATGTGTATGAGTGTATTTACCCCTAATACCTAAACCTCTGGCAACACGTTCAAGTGGAATTAAATTATTCGTCCAGAAACTTCCGATTTAAATTTTGACACAATTATAAAGAGATCAAACAATGAAAGTAATTCATTTAGATAAAAAGAACTCGTGAAAATCGACTCACAATTAACGAAGACACGCGTAACATACAGTTAAGAATATAGTCTAATTGATAATTCACCCTTTTTAACGTAGGTTGACAAAAATCACCAAAGGGAGACTTTGTATAAGTCGTTGGCTTGGGCGCCTTCGTCCCATTCGTGTTTCAACCGTGAAGCAATTGTGTTTACATGGCTGTTTCGGTTTGAAAGATGGGATATGGCAGTGAAGTGATTTACAGGAAACAGAGAATTAACTCAGGAATAGCAACGCATGGG